ACCGCCATGACCTTCCCGTGCGGAAGGGCAGTCCTGCGAGTGACGGTTCACATTGCACGTTTGCTCGGCAAATATTTATCTCAGGCACGTGGAGCCTGGGCTGACGTCCGGTCGGATGAAACCAGGGGAAAGGCTGGGCCCAGAGGAGCGGCCATGCCATGGCAGCTGTGTGGCCTTGAACAAGTTACTCCACCTCTCTGTGCCTCAGTTTCTCCATCTCTCAGTGCTGCCACGCCAGTGGCTACTATAGGATTAAACAAGCCAACATCCTGCAGAGAGCAGGCATTCAAAAACATGGCGACTATTACTACGAATTATCCCCGCGATACTACTCTCCCGAGAGCACCTGTAGGGAAGTAAGGTGCCAACAACCTCTGCATTCGCTCCTCCGCAGACCAGACGCCGCTTTTACCTCTTCACTTCGTAGGGTCCCCACAAGGAGCCTTCGAAACAGGCAGGTGAGAAAACCGAGGCTGGGGAGACTGCGGTGGATCCCCCACTTCCCGGAAGACGTGTCCCAGCCCCGCCCAGAACGGCTCCACCAGAAAGTCTGCCGGGCCTCCCGGGCCTGGTGTGGGACACAGCTCACCAGCAAGCAGCCCGCTGCCTCCTCCAGTAGAAACCTCTTCTTCCCTTTTCCCAAAGGCTGCCGGGAAGCTCGGAGCCGATGCGCAGCAGCAGTGGGTCCTGGGCGTGTGGGCAGCCTCTGGCCCCTCTGCCGGCCCAGCCTTTCTGTCCACCCCACTGGACCTCCCAGCCCAGCAGAGGAGCCCGTCCGTATGTGCAGAGCGCGTGCTCGAGTCTGAAGCCGCGCATCTGTTCCACATTCTCTCTCAGATCTTCGCGGAGCAGCAGCTGCACACCACGCACCCCAGGCCCTGGGGCAGAGGGAGCAGAAACACCCCTGGCTGTGCAGGGCAGGCCGAGGGGAGCAGCAAAGGGAACACGCAACTGCGGGGCCGGGGCAGGCGGCCGGGCCCATCTCTGCTCTCGCCGAGCCCTTGTTAGTGTCCCTGCCCCCCACCCCGCAGTGCAATTGGGCCGCTGGCCCAATGCGTGCAGCTAGAGCAGTGGTTCTCAACCTTCCTCATGCCGCAACCCTTTCATACAGTTCCTCATGTTGTGGGGACCCCCACCATAAAATTATTTTCGTTGCTACTTCATCACTGTAATTTTGCTACTGTTATGAATGGTCATGTAAATATCTGATATGCAGGATGTATTTTCATTGTTACAAATTGAACATAATTAAAGCATAGTGATTAGTCACAAAACAATATGTAATTATATATGTGTTTTCCGATGGTCTTAGGCGACCCCTGTGAGAGGGTCGTTTGACCCCCAAAGGGGTCTCGACCCACAGGTTGGCGACCCACAGACTGAGAACCACTGAGCTAGAGAATGGTCCCCTGGCTATAGATTCCGGCGTCGGTGGCTCCTACCCACCCACGTCTGTGAGGGAAACTAAAGGCCAGAGAGGTAGGCAAGGCAGGTCGCCCCACCTGCCGACAGGTGTTGCCAAGACCCCAAAGCAGATTAGCCCGCGGATGTGGGTCCCAGGCAGCAGGGGGCACCCAGGCCCGCAGGTGTGGACCCGCCACCCTGTGCGGCTCCGATTGTGTTACCAGAATAGCTCGGCCCCCAACGTGATCAGAGGGCTGGGGGCGCGCTGCCCGCAGCGCCTGCTGGCCACTTTGATGTGAGGGCGCCCGAGCCCCACGCCCCCTTCGGTGATGTTCAAGAGCCGTGCGGTGTGCCTGCTGCCCACTCTTTTTTAAAGCAAGGAATTGTCTAACCTTTTAATATGAACCAGCAATTATCTCCAAGGCAGGAAACCAAACCCGGGCTGTTCTGGTGAAAGACAGATGCCTTCCTGCTGTGCTGAGCAGAGGAGACCACATGAAAAGCCCAGCCCGCTCGTCGGGGCTGCGCTGAGGTTCCAGGAACAGATTGGGCCCCGGCCTGGCCCCTGCCCAGCTGCCAGGGCCTGGGCCGCGTGTGGGAGGGAGGCCCGGAGGGGCCTCAGGGACATGGGCCCCCTCGTGCAGACCCT